TGCTTTATATTGCCAGAGCACGCTGTTATAGTCACATTTTTATGCATACCATTTCTGGAAGGATCAGTAGGCACCAAATGTGTACCGGCTGGTGGAGGCTATACTCAGTCACAGGGTGAGGCCAGGAATTTGGGGACCGATCCAAGAGGAAATCTGGGCTTTCCACATACAATATTATGGTACAATTTATCCATAAATTCCATAAAGTCCTGTTTTACTTTAATGCATCAGAAAATACTTTTCTCACATAAACAGACAAAATCATAGTTTCCATTCCTAGTCTGGATGGAAATTATCTTGCTGGGGCTGTGATTATAATTATCTAAATTGAATTACCAGTTGGAATTGCTGGAATACCTAATTCACGACCATGGTAATAATACAATAAGGGAAGCAATCCGTCCTCACAATAGTACTGTCAGGACTGAGTAATGGATGGTGTTTGAGTCAGTATCCAGTGGTGTTAGTTCCTTCTCAAACTTCGAAAACAAAATCTCCAACAATGCAGCTTTGCTGGAATCCAGCATAAAGGTCATAATTGCACATGAAGCATGCCAGATGGGAGGCTGTGAAGTACATTTTGTAATGTGGAATGAAAAAATACACTGGATAGCAATGTTTTCTTATCTTCAAGTACTCACAATGATAACTCAACGATCCTTTCTGAAGCTGAATTCTTTTGTTCTTATTTGGGGAGTAAAAATTGGCAGGGACCTTCTGTGACAGAATTCAGATTTGTGTGTGTCTGCATAAGTGTATGTGTATAAGTGTGCCTGTGTGTTTCTATATATGTGAGTGTGTGTCTGCATGCATATGTGTGTATACCAGTGTGAGTATGTGAGTGTATATTTGAGTGTGTGACTATGTGTGAGTGATTGTGTATGTATATGTGTGTGAGAGTGACTGTATATATATATATGTGTATATATATACATGTGCAAAAACATATATGTAAACATGGGTGTATGTGTAGGACATAAATATAGGAGAAAAGAGCCAGCAGGAGGGGGATGGGGGCAAGACAGGGGGACAACATGGTGGCGTGAGGAAAATACATGATATATGCATATCAAAATGTTATAATGAAAGCTATTATTTTATATAAGCAATATACATTAATACAAAAGTGTTAGCTATAATACTCTTGTAAGATGAACATAAATGCTAAATTATTAACATAAATGCTTGGAAGTCTCTAAAACATAGTAACAAGAGATAAAAATAAATAATTGTGTTTACAAAATACAAATATATGTGTAATATGTAAATGTTTGCATGACTCTGTACTAAAAAAAGCAATCCAATTATACTGAGTGAAACAGATTATAAAGGAAATGGAACTTTTTACTAGATATTAAGAATTATTATTTCCTTTCTAAATTTGTGTTTTACCATTTGTACTTTCACTAATTCTTTTTTTCATCTGTTTTTTGAAGGCAAATCTCTTAGTTTAAATAGTTTAAAAACCAAGGACTGTATTGAGCTCAGGCATGCTTGCTGATTCATACATGGGAGTGAACTGCCTCTCTTAGGGTAGATGTATAACTTCAGGAGAAGACATTTATTTCAGTGGGAACATTTAACAGTTGCTGAAATTAAGACATAAGTATCACATAAACAAACTGAGAAAACACAAGAAAGGCACAATACACTATCTGCAAATTTTGTGTAGTTTTTGTTTATGTGCACATGGAATGGTTGCTCCTCCACTCACCTCTGTGACTAAGACAAGCTAGGTTTTCCTGGAGATCTCTATTATACCAGGTGATCCCTGAACCAGCATCATCACAGAGCAGAGTCATATAGGTACATAAAGTGTCAGCCCTCTCCAGACCAACTGAATTGAATTCTGCTGGGCTGCCTGTAAGCCAACTCCGCAGGCAAGTCATGTGCCCATTTAGTTTTGAGAAATAGCATTGTGAAAACTCGAATGTCTTGACTTCTCATTTCTTCCTAGGATCTTCACAGCCACACAGATTGTGTGTGCTAAACCTCATATTAAGAGCAGTACATACACATTACCAGTGAGTCTTAACTTTGGCCACAGATGAGCATTATCTAGGCATAAGTTTTAAAATAATAGGTTAGGCTTGATTTCAGTTGTATAGTTCAATAATAAGAAATTATTTCTGAACAAAGACTTTTTAAATGAAGCTCACTTGATAAATAAAATGTGCAACTCTAGTTAAAACACTTGCAATATCATAGTTCTTACCTGAAAACATTGAGATGAGTATATTGTATTACAGAGGGACTTGTCCCTGGTTAGCAAACATGCATTTAGTAGGGTCTTTCTTGGAGTTTTTCTTGAGATCTTCAATGCCATCAAAGGATTCTCAGCTGCCTCCTATGTGATTATCTCATCACACAGCAATCTCTGGGCAAAACTGGAGGGACTGGAGGCCCTGACAGACAGGCACAGCTTGGGTGGAAAGATGAACCCCTGAGATAGTGTTTATGCCTAGGACACATGAGTACCCACTCGACGTTCAACTAGTGAAGACTTTAATTTTAGAGAGACCTGTCACACCCTTGATTGAGAAGTAGCAAACACATAAGTATTTACAAAACGCCCTGGGCACAGCTCTTTGACTAGTTGATAAGGTCTCCTACCCTGTTCTTCACAGTTGCCACATCACCAGAATGGCTGCCGTTCTTTTAAGCAAGAGATATTCTGAAATCTGGTTATCCCAAAACAGGAGGACCAACCATAGGCCCACCCATGTGTGGTATGTTCTCACAGAATCAGGGAGGAAGTGAGTCATGCCTGCTTGCATCATTAAAGTAAGGCATGTGTAATATTTTAAAGGATTTATCATAAACGAATCCTTCCACGGCCATCTGCTCAGTTTTGGTACAGGAACTATTACAAACCCATTCTTGGATTGCTGGTTAGCATCTTTAAAAGGATGTGTATTTTATGGTGTGTGCAAATAAGTAAAAGAAATGGGAATTTTCCTTTACAAACTATATTTGGAATGTTCTTAAGTCACTTTCTTAGTCAGTTGGCCCAATTGCTAGTATAATCCTAAAATGTGGATGTTGCCTTTGAAATTCCAATTTAATCCACAGATGTGTGTAATGGCACATAGATAATGGCCTACTGCAGACAATGAAGATGCTGAGGATAAGGGCAGTGTTGATGACCAGCAGCAGTGGTGTCACAGCATCTATTTGCTTACTTATTATGATCTGTTTGCTTCTGTAAAAATCATCTTTCTGATACCCAATACTCTATTGGCATTTATTATGACATTGACATAAATACCAGAAATGCACAGACTTAAAGATTTAGCTATCTTGGAAAGGCTATCATGTATGTATACCTTGCTTCTGCATAAAAAGAACAGACATGTCTTTAAATGGCAAGTGATATACCTTTGAATTATGGGTATATTAACATTACACCAAAGGAGTTAAAAGGGAGGGAGGGAGAAAGTAATGAGAAAATTCCTGGTGATAAATGTTCAAGTAAATGGTTTGAATTATTTTGAAACAAATGTGTTTCTCTTACTTTCTGGATTCATTCAGTGCCATATTAATAAAAGGACACAATATTGTAAATGCTAAACTAAGAAAACAATTGATTGTATACAGATGAAGAAACACTGTGAGTGTGTTTTGGGAAAATTGCCTTCCTGAGTTTTAAATTCTGAAAAATCTGCTACTTTAGTATTGGTGATGAGCCCCCTCTGCCTAGACTCAGGGGCTTTGTTTTCCCTGAGCCTAAAGGAGTTAATGTCTCTTGCAAACCACCTAGGAAGAAGTGAAGCAACCTCACCTGGAAGCAGCAGCATTGGCTATTCAGAGGCATTCTGCCCCCTGGTGGACGCCCAGGGTGGGTTTTGATGCAAGTTGCAGAAACTCCTTTCCCTTCCCACACCCTTTCCTTCTGAAAACCTCAGGAGGTGCTCCAGTTGAAAGCTATTGCCTCCTCCACACATATATGCATTTGGAGCAACAATTTCCTTTTATATAATAAAAAAATTCTTGGCTTTCAAATCAGCTCTTCAGAGCTAAAATAAAAATTATACGCATCATTGTTAGTTATGACTAAAAGAGGTAAATGAGCTGCTGAAAAGGGTGTGGATATGGACCAAGAATGTTGGATTCAAGAAAAGAGTCATAAAATCTCTAGAAGGTGCGAAAGAGAGTTTAAATGTGACTAAAAGAAAGCTATAGGAAACTAAGTATGTGGCAATTTCTTATGGCATTAGAGCTGCTGTGAACGTGTCCTGTGTCCCTTTTTCTCTTTGGACCAGGAATCACCAGCCAAGACAGGTGATTGTGGGAAACTGCTAATCCCAATCATTTCTAATTTAGACAAGAAGTCCCCCATTGCAGCTGATTGAAACTTTCTCCTTCTACTCTCTCAAATATCCTTAATTTTCTATGCTACACATAGATTGCACCCCTATAAAAGAAGCATTTGGAAATAAGGCCTAAGAGGAGGTACCATTTCTGAATCCCACTCCCCTTCTGAAGTTTACTTTGTACAGACTTTGAGCCTTTGCAACAACTTACATCTAGGAGGTATTTTGGAAAGAGAACCACACACTCTGCCATCTACATTTATCACTGAAACCTAGGACATTCTGGCTCTAGACGTTGTCTTTCTGGATATTTCATGGGTCTTTAGGTGGTGCAGCCTACCCTTGTGTCATACCCATGTCTGCTTTCACCCAGTTTCTCCTTTCTCTCATCTTGGGTTTTAATCAGCACACAGAACCCCTGGCACCTTCATATTCCAGAACTGTGAGGAGAATATCCTTTAAAAATGCTGATCTGGAAAACTTCTTAATAGTGGATGCAACTCTCCCTATTTATAGAGTACAAAATTCCTTTCAAACTCTTGCTACACACATACAAACTGAACTCTCCAAACCAAGGCAGTTTATATCCATCTACCGCAGTGTCAGCTGTCATCAGTCATTCTCTCGTGAAGCCCCCAGAATCAAGTGGCCCTGTCTTCCCATAATAACAGAACTACTCCTAAGCACTTTTAGAACACAACGGACTTTTATTTCATCATTTTCCTAAATTTGATTTCCAATTACACGTTTGCTGAGAGCTGGAATACCAAAGGCAATTTCAGACACAAAACTCTATCAAATACACACAGTCGAAGACGTTACTGCTTGAGTGAGTTACAGTCCTCTCAGTACTTCCCACTTAAAGAAGATAAAACTAAGATAATAGAGAGGAAAAGTGAACAACATTGTTCTATAGGAAATTTGTCAAACTTCTAAAACATTCATTCCATGGGTGCAGTGTCCATTTTAAAAAAGGAAACTCTAAAGTTCCTACAAACACAAGACAATATTGGCATTTTTAGATGAATATACATTCATATACTTGTGTGAAAATCTGTGCAATTTAACAACATGGAAAATGGTACTTATTACCATAGTCAATGAAAATATATTTTCATTTCTATGTAAGTTAAACATTTCCATCTCCCATTTTATGTCCTGCAAAAAAGCCATGTGCCTAGTTTATGGAACAAACTATGCTCATATGCAGTAGTAACTGAAAAGGAACTGAACAGTTCTATCTGAATACCTCTGGGATGAATATACACCTTGCATAATCATGTGCAATGCTGGATGATGATCCTAGATCTCTTATCACTACAAAGGTTTGCAAGCTTCTATTTGATACACGATGCCCCAAATTCAGTCACTTCAGCCAAATACTCAAGCAATAATTAAGGTCAGTGATTTACAAAACAAACAACCCATTTGACTAAATTGACCATGTTTTGTTAACATGATGACACAATCATTGTAGGTGCCCTATAAAGAAATCATTTGTAAGTGGCTATTTGTTTCAATTAACTTTCCCCTAAGGCTCTTAGAAGTTCACTTAATTGCCTCTTGGGCCCCAAGAAAACACATCTGCATAAACAGAAGACCAACATATTGATAATATAAAAACAAATATCATGCCCTATGTGCATTCCTCCATAGGAGAAATGTCACAAAGCACAAAGAAACTAGGGATCCAGCAGAAATCTATAGGATTATCTAATGCCTAAGATTTTATCTTACTCCAGTGTCAGGTATAATGTTTGTTGAAATTCCCTTTTTTACCTACAGTACATGTGAACTTTTGAATAGCATCTTTTCAGAGTCATTACCCAGTGTGAAGGTCTGCACAGGAGGCAAGCGGTGAAATTCAGCTCACTACATCTATTGTCTGATGATCTGGACTGGGCAGCTTCACACAGGGAGTGGATCCATTTTATAAAGACAACTTCCTTCTGCAGACAAAAGGTCTCGAGTGCAGACAGCCTCTGAAGCAAGGACTGTGAATCTTCTTTGGCATATTAAACATTCCACATACACATTTGTTTTTACAGATGACCCTTCAGAACTGCTTCTTTTCATTAAGAAAGTGCAATAGTTTTTCATCTTCTAGTACTTGATTTTCTGTATCGTGTACCCCTCAGAGTGAATTCAAAATAACCGAGTGTCATTGAAACTTAGAAAGAGAGATACGCTTCAATTGTTTTAGATGGTATAGTCACTGACGTGGCAGGTCAGTAACACATTTCCAAGGCTAGAAGACTTGCCAGTTTCCTGGTTGTTGAGTAAGCCTGAGGTGTGGCTCTATGAATTATAAAGAAAATAGGTTCAATTTCAGGCTCTCTCAGTTTTTCTAAATTTCTAATATGTGATTTTTTTCTAGCTGCTCCTACCCAAACTTCAATAGTAAGAAAAAAACAAGGTAGAGTCCCAGGCTCGCTCTCTCTCTCTCTCTCTCTCTCTCTCTCTCTCTCTCTCTCTCTCTCTCTCTCTCTCTCTCTCTCTCACTTTAATATAGTTTGGGGGGTTCTGGCTGCATTTTGAAGATTTCTGGACAGGGAATCTTGTTCTCTTGTTTACTTTATATATTTGCACACAAGGGAATCACAGATGGGAGAGAGTGCAAATGCTTATCAAAAATCGTCTCATGCATTTTAAAATTTTTTACAAGTCAAAAATATACATCCTCTTATCTCCCCCTTTATTCCTTAATTATATAAGAAATAACATCTGTTCCATCAGTCTTCTCCGTATATCACGGAATTAGATAAGGAATAAAGATACTTTCTTGTTAAGGAACTGTATACAACTCTAATCCATTTGACAAACTCCTCTAATGGCAGCAGTTTGGGCTGAGTCACCCAGCATACCCTCCATTGGTGGGGATTTAAGTGTGTAAAATGACTGGTACATGAGATTAGGAAACAATGCAGCCTGCAGACTTTGGCACTAGCACACATTATGTTTTGTTTGAGTTGTTAGAGTTGTAGTTTGACGCTCACAAAACAGGAATTTAAAAAATTAGAAATCTGCATAAGACAAACAATCTTAGGTGTTGCTCCTCAGTGTAACACTCCCCATCTCCCATCCCCACCCACCACCCCCATATATTTTAATTGTAATAAAAATAGAGATCTTAGCATTAGAATTTCACTTTAACTCTTCAAGGTTGCTCTGTGCCATCCAAGCCACATTTAGTGTTTGAAGCACCAAATCCACAAGTTTCTCCAACCAAATTTAAATAAACAAATGAAGACTGGAGGATGTAAAGTAAGTGTTCTAAAATAAAGCTGGAACACAACGTTCTCCCCAAGCACAGGGTAGTAAGTGTCTAGTTCAAGTACTGCCAGGCTGTATGTAGATCTATATCAAACAGGCTTCAGATAACACCTACAAGCGCCACTGGCTTAGAGGGCAATGTTCACAACACAAAACGGGGCAGGGATACCCCATCCATCATCAACATTAAAAAGTTGGTGTGATTGGCTGCAGGAAGATCTGTGCTGAGCCCGGGCTTTGAGGGGAGGAAGTTAACCTCCTCAGCATGGGCACTTTGCAGTAGTTTGAGCAGTTCACCTTCCAGATTGCTCTCTCAGAGCTGCCCGGATTCTCAGGATTCATTGCCCTTGCCTAGTAGAGAGAGCCTTGCTTCCACCCAGTAACAGGGAAAGAAGATTTGACCTACCTGTGGAAAGACCCAACTTGGTCCCCAAAGGTCGCCTAGGCGACCCCACTGCCATTGACAAGTCAACCTGTGCACTTAAAGCGTATCAGTTTATGGAATGCTTGTTTGAAGTCCTCATTGGACATGGTGTAGATGATGGGGTTGATGAGGGAGTTAAGATAGCCTAGCCAATTGAAGAAGTCGAAGATGGCCATGTGAAACCAGCAGGCATCCTTGCAGATAGGCATCACCAAGGAGATGATGAAGAAGGGCAACCAGCACACAATAAAGGCTCCTAAAATGATCCCTAGGGTCTTGGTGGCTTTGCGCTCCCTAGCGGCCATGAGTTTCTTCTTCTCCAGCAGGGCGTCTGAGACTCTTACTTTGACTTGGTTCACATACACTGGAGACCCGGATTCGCTGGGCACGTCGGGAGCCCGGGAGTTAATGGAGGTGACCGAGGACGTGGACCCAGGCGAGTCTGTTATCAGTTGGGCTCGGGTCAAGCGCTTGCCGGTCTTGTTGGGTGTCTGTTTCAAAATCCGAGAGCGGGCTTCCACGTAGATACGGCCATAGAGGGCGATGAGGAGCAGGGTGGGTAAATAGAAAGCGCCCACCGTGGAGTAGACTGTATAGAGGACGTGGTCCGTGTTCACAAAACAGTCCAGCACCTCCTCCTCAGCCTTGGCTTGACGCCAGAAGAAGGGTGGCAGCGAAATAGAGATGGAGAAGACCCACACCAGCGCTATCATGATGGCCGCCCTTCTGGGAGTCCTTTTAGCGGAATACTCCACGGCATCAGTGATGGCCCAGTAGCGGTCCAGGGCTATGACACAGAGATGCATGATGGAAGCAGTGCAACAGGTGATATCCGACGACAGCCAGAAGTCACAGACCACCTGGCCTAGTGTCCAGCGCCCAGTTACCGTGTACATGGTGCTGATGGGCATCACCAGGATGGACACGAGCAGGTCAGTGACTGCCAGAGAGGCAATCAGGTAGTTAGCCGGGGTGTGCAGTTTCCGGGTCCGATACACCGTGGCGATCACAAAAGCATTGGAGAGCGTGGTGGCCAAGGTGATGAGAGCCAGCAGTGCAACCAGCAGGACTTTCCAGGGCATGGCGATGGAGTCCTGGTAAATGTGGCTCTCGGCGCTGCAGTTGTGGGAGAGGTTGACAAGCGGTACCCCTGTCTGGGAGGCGGCAGGAGGTGGAGGGGCGCACTGAACTCCCTGATCCTCCATGGCTCTCCTCGCCCCGGCAGCGGAGCGCAGCTCTTGAGCATGGAGCGGACGAAGGAGACAGCAGAGGATGGGAGGGTCATGGAGACCACAGGCTTGTCTCTTTTGCCTAGCCAGTACCTGGGCTCCTCAGTAACTCCTCCACCTAGGTTGTTAGCCGAAAGGAGAGGTCACAGGCGCCGCCACCAAGCCTGCGGGCGCTTCCCCAGCACTTCCAGCGCGCTTGGCGCTGCTGCCGCGTCTGCTAGCTCCTCTCCACGCCCCGTCTTCGCCCGGGTGATTAGAGCATTGGCCCACCCAGTCCAGCTCTGCTCAGGCTCCCTGGAGGCAAACAGTGGAGAAGAGCTAAGTACCGCTGGAGGAGGGAGGGGTCTCAGGACAACTGGGACCCCTTACCCCAATTGTTCGGGGCTCAGGTTCTCCTAACCCGGGCGCTCCGGAATCTGCAGACTCCGCCCGCAGGAGTTTCCTGGCTGTGCAGACCTAAGCTCGCAGACCCGTGCAGAGTCCTGGGCTTGCATCCCCGCCCCGCTCCCCGTGCCCCCCGCCCGGAGCCGGGCCACTTTCTGTAGCCGCCACCTGACTTGGGGATTGTGAAGTCTGGGAGCCGCGCCGCGCCTGGCGCCGGAGCTCTGTACTCCCTCCCCTTTCACGCGCTGGCCACACCAGCGAACTGCCCCGCGGAGACGCGGCCACCAGAGGGGAGACTCGGGGGCCCGAGCTGCGGCTGTTCGAGCCGCGCTGCAGCTGTCACCACCTCCAGGGTTCCAGCTGTGCCGCTGGGAGCCATGCCGCGGGGCGCACAGGGCTGGGGCACCTGGAGCCGCACACCAGGAGGGGGCGGGTGTCTGGGGGAGCAGGAGGAACCCCGCGTGCGCCAGCCCGGGAGCTGGGTGTGAGCCTCAGAGCCGGTGAGGCTCCTTTTATACTATCTGGGTCCAGCCTGGTCTGGCCTTGCAACTCGTGCAGTGCGGCGAGTGCAGACGCAGGCGGCACAGCACCTTTCCTTGAGATCTCTCCCTCCCTCTTTTCCTCCCGCCCAGTTCCATTCCTGACCACAGAATCTCCCGCCGGGTCCTACCGCCCTCTCTCGCAGTTTTCGTCACCTTGTCCCTTCTCCCGACCCTGACACTCAGAGTCGCCTTTCAGGCGGGGAATGGGAAATGGGACGTCCTGTTCTTGCCTCTGCGGGCTTTCAGTCTTAGTGCTCCGCAGTCAACCCACGCCCATAGTCGCTGCCACAGACTTAGTGCAGGCGTCCGGGTCTAGGCTTCCTCCTACCACCACCTCCCTCTTTCCCGGAGGTTGGTGGTAGGTGGAGCAAGCCCCAAGCTCTGAACTCTCCTTTCTGGAATCTAACCCAACACCGAAGGCCACACCCAGGATGGAAGGAGGCACCAGAGATGCTGCCTTAGAAGGAAGCAGCCAGTTTGTGCATTTTGTACTTCACGCTTGTGGCTCTGAGACATCTTTAACTCTAAGTACATTAAAAACACATTTTCCCATCTACGTTTAGAAAATTGTGCTTGTCATTCAACACTCCCCCTTTAATTTTGTGAGTCAACGGGAAAGAAGCTGTCTGCAAGATTTAAAACAGTGTTGTAAAGAGAAGCCGGTTACTGTGTGCGAAATTTAACGTTTGGTTCCAGCCAGCGACTCCAGTGGCTCCGCGGCTCAGTGTCTGAGTTTCCAGGGAAGAAGTTCTTCCCCTCAGTCCGCCCACGAAGGAGAAAATGTAGGGGCCTCTGAGCTATCACTATACTCATCATACTGTCTCCTTTGCCCTCCACGAAAAGATCACAATTCTGCTATAGGGGGCAGTATGGCAGCTAGGTATCCAATCCCTGAACAGATTCCCTATGCTAGGTTTTTCCTCCAATCTGAACAGCACCAAACACAGGGAACATGTACAAGCCAAAAGTTGAAAGTGAAGGGCAATGTATTCTCCATCTTGAGCACTAAGTGGTCCTCATTATAAGTCCCAAGAGCCACAGTTTGTGTTTGGTATGTTGAATGGATCTAATAAAAGCCACAGTATAATTCAATTCCCCAGGTTCTCCACAAGTGTGTTTTTAAAGGCTCAAATCATTCAGTCTCAGAGGTGAGCCAGGGATCATGTGTTCTATCATCCATCCGGAGTAATTTCAGACCTATAGAAGAGACCTATAGGTGATATGAATTCTTGGTCCTTTTAGCCAGCCAGGCAGGCAAAAATTAGAATGCGTAATTGAGGGTAGATTAAATTCATAATTGATGCTGGGTATTCTCCTCCACACTAGGAATATGGAGACAAACGGGGCAAATTCAGATCCAGGTTTTTAGCAGTTATATCCTAGGAGAGGCAGAGACAGTGGATGATAGTCAACTAAATCACTATACTTTCATTTGACAGCAAGTGTGGGAAAGAGAATACATCCAAGCTTTAAGAGGGTGCTCCTTTTACTAAGGTGGCTTAACTGGATTGCAGTAGATGAAAAACAAACAAACAAACAAACAAAAACAACTTTTTTCTCTCTGTTCCTTTCCACAAGGCCAGAAACTTCAGCAGATTGAACATTTTCCACCACATTTTAAGGTGTTCCCTCTCTTTCAACTCCATCCACCCACATCAGGAATATTGATTATTTTATTAACCACCATGCTCAGTTAAAAGCTATTGGAACAGGAAGGGAAGGGAAACTGGCAAATTTAAACCACTAGGTGGGGGCGTTGACCAGGATGGAGCAAGTGTGTGGTTAAGGGGCAAGAATAATGGAGGGGCACTAGAAAACTATTTTCTTGCTATTGTAGTCTTCTAAGGGATCTAGGGAAGACTGAGAGAACTGCTCAAGATATGGGAGACAAGAGAAGAATATGAAGAACTACGCTGGCCTTTTTAGTTCTGTTCCAAAAGTAGGAGATGGGCAGTACAACTTCTCAGTGTTGGCATTAGAGAAGCAAACACCTGTGGCTTTCTGCAGATGACCCCAGCTGATTTGCAGAGTCCCATGCCCTGAGCAGACACTATCACTTGCAGACAGATTTTGAGTTTACCTCCTAGTTAGAGCTGCATGAACATGCTGCTGCAGCACAGAAGGGATTTTAGCAGAGCTCAGTGAAGAGTCACAATTCTTTAAGTTAGCTTCTGAATTTCATTCATTTCATTCAGGACTTAAAACATGTAAAAAGCAGCTCGCACAGCGATGTGTATTTCTGAAATAAGAAACTAACAACCTGTCACCAATTCCTGACTTTTCTTTGTCTTCTTTGGCTTGTTTGTTTGTTTTGTTGTTGTTCCTAAGTCCCAGGCCATTCAAAAACACCTTTTTTCAAGTTACTGGTGAAGCCAGAACTTCAGAGAACAGTGACAGAGAACAGAGACAGCAGGATAAAATCAAGTACTGAGTCATTCGTGGTGGGGTATGACTCACCATTAAGGGGACTTTACTATGCCAGGGGGCTGTATTGCTGTATTGATCCCACAAGGAAATTCTGGGTACAGTTTGGGAGGTTTTGATCTTGATCTTATCACACCAGACACTCAAAAGGCATTCCCTCTCCTGGCAACCCCAAGGAGTATGTCACAGAACTCAGAATTTGCTGTCCAACACAGTACCTATCCTTCAGTGAAATCGTAATTGAAAAACATCGAAGGGGCAGGTCCTAATCACAGAATGTGGGAACTGGACAAATACTCCTTCCAAGTCTTTGTCAAGTCTAAGGACAAGATGGGATGCTTTTACTTCTGTGATATTAAATTCCCACTGGTGAAGTGATCAGCAAAGACACCAGCAGTGAACAACCTTGTTCTGTGTGGTCATAGCCCATAGCTGGGTTCCTCTCAAACATCCTCACTAGCTCTGTAAGTTGATTGTTGTCACTGAAAATACAACTTTCCCAAGGACCTTGTTTCGCTCTATTCTTGTGTCTTCCATGAGGAACCTATGGGAATGTTTGTATAAGAGAACAGATGGAATGCCTACAAATTCCAAGTGCTTCAGAATCCATTTGCACATTCATTGACCTCCATTGTAGGCTTGTGAGATGATATTCATGTCATAGTACTTCTATGCTGTCTAATTTCTAAAGGATTTTTAAGGTTTCCTACATAATAAAGTCAGTTCTTTACCAGGTTGTTGTAGATTAGTTCCTAAGAAGGAGCAACTCTGCTGTCTTTCTAGGTATGGTAAACAAGCCATATAAGGAAAGGAATAGCGACAACATCAGAGCACATATATGTATATGTGTGTGTATATGAAATATATATATGATATACATCTTTCATAGTCTAAGATCTGTCTTTCTAATAACAAACACTGTCTTGATGCTCTTTTGCTGTGAAGAGACCCCAAGGTCATGGCAATTCTTATAAATAGGAAGCATTTAATCGGGGCTTGCTTACAGTTTCAGAGGTTTAGTCCATCATCAACATGGTAGGTAGTATGGTGGCAGGTGGTCGGGCAGACATGGTAGCTAAGAGGTGTAAATCCAGATCCAAAGACAATAGAAAATGAGACAGGCACTAGGTCTGACTTGGACCCCTGAAACCTCGAAACCCACCACTCAGTGACTCATTTCCTCAAAATTACTACATTTTGTCTAACAAAGTCCCACCTCTTAACTCTTTCAAATAGTGCCACTACCTCATGACTAAGCATTCAAATATATGAACTTGCAGAGACACTTTAAATGGATACATACAACAAATAGAGTAATATTGGTTCAATGCTAACTTAGTTCAAACCTGGATCTTGAGATATCGCTAAGTAACACTAGTCTAAACTGTTTGAATGATTACCTATGCAGCAGGAAATTCTTCTCCTTGGGAAGCATAGGATTTGTCTGTAATGAAAACTTTTCTGATGAAAAAGCAATAATGCCAACTGAGTCCACTCAAACTAAAACAGCTGTTAAGTAAGTAACACCATTGTGAAGCTCTGTTCAGGATGAATTCTGTCTAAAAAAAACAAATCAGAGCATTTAATGATGAAATTGACCATCAAGCCCAAAGAAAACAAGAAAAAATGCCTCTTTCTATACTCAAAATAAGTAATTTGTTCTTTACTTTCAACCCAGAAAAAAAAGTATCACTGTGTAGTTTAGGTTTGCAGAGAAAAACAAGCCAAGCTGTGCTCTAAGGCTTCTGTACCTGTAATTCTGGAATAATTATCATTATCTTTACTGAGCACTGTGCACTGAGCCATATGCTGTGTGTCCCACTCACATTTCTCATTTAATTGTTACAACACTGAGAATTGTCATTAGCTTTCCCAGTTTCTGGGTGAGGAAATTGAGATTCAGAGAATTTAAGGCGCTCTGCTAATATCAGGCAGCTGGCAAGTGCAAAATTGTCCAAACTCAAGTCTCTATAACTTACTGCTCCATCTCTTTCCCAGTGTTCTGCATTAAATCAGTCCTGGCCACTCAGCTCAGTCTGTCTCTACTGTCTTTTTGTTTTGTATATGTATAAATAGAATAGGGATTCTACTTCAAGAGGAGAGTGAGAGCCTCAAAACCAAAAGAGGGGTTGCATTAGTTCATTTTGCCACTGAGCCTCAGGGAAAGCTAAGAAACTACATACAGGGCTGTCCTGCTGTCCTAGTCATCTTGAATGCCATGTGTATGTAGCTATCTTTCTTCTTCTTCTTCTTCTTCTTCTTCTTCTTCTTCTTCTTCTTCTTCTTCTTCTTCTTCTTCTCCTCCTCCTCCTCCTCCTTCTTCTTTTTTCTTCTTTCTTCTTTCTTCTCCTTCCTCTTCTTGAAGGCTGCTGTCATTTATTTTCACAAACACTGTATCAGACTAACAATTCATTATATATTAGTATGTTAATCATACAGAGTTTTATTATAACATTTTCGTATATGTGTGTGTGATATTCTGATCACATTTATCTTCCCCAACATTATCCCCGTTGCCCACCTCCTTTGTCACCTTACTCTTCATAAATATAGCATTGTGTTTCCTTGTGATTTGGCTTAGTTTTTTTTGTTTGTTTGGATATGATTTTTGTTGTTTGAGACAAGTCCTGACTCTGTAGCTCATACATTCCTGTAGCTCACTGTATGCTCTAGGCTGCATCATTCTTGCAATGATCCTCCTGCTTCTGCCTCTTGAGGACTGAGATGATGGAAATGAGTCACTATATCTAGAGCGAGATAGCACTGCTAATCCTGTGCATCGAAGTGTTTGACTGTGCTTTAAACTGACATGACTCTCCGTGGTCTTTTTATGTTGGTGTCAGTAACTTTAGAATGTCTATCTTATACTTTCAGTCAAATATCAGCAGCTCAAATTCACTTACCAAATTCAAACCAGTTCCGAGTTCATAAATGATGAGAAATGGATTTTCTTCTGAATAAAAGGTAGAAAATCACAAGGGTTGGGCATGCCCCTCGCTCTCAAGTGATAACTGAAAATGCACTTTTTTCAAGATTGAAGAGTTAAACAAGCAAGAAGAATTTGACAAACAAAAATTCCAGGGAGAGAGAATTTCCCTGGTGAGCAGTCTGTGTGATTTCCTTGAGGCATTTTGTGATTCTGTCACTGGGTGTGGTCAGA